TACCGAAAAGTGAGGCTTGGTCACCGAATACCTGGGACAATGGTATCACCGTCACATTAAAAATGAAATCGCAAAACAACTTGCAGAGAATGAAGTTTTTGTGCGGTTCACGCTCCGGGTTGCCGAGTTTTTCGCAACAATGATCTGACTTTCTATCTGTAACTTACGTTTTGGGCACATCCTTACGCCGTTCAAACCGGGATTTGAAAGCGTTACCGCAAAGAGGTCGAACGTGGACTTCATGATTGAGGCCATAGCTGCATTATCTGAACAAACAGAAGATATTCTGTTGTCACGGTGATGCTACTGATGGGGGGTGGGCATGCAAGTAGTATGTTTTCTTCTTGTAAATTCGCTTCTTGTCTCTTGAGAAGGAAGATATGTAGCGTAATTTGCGGAGTCGCTTTGTAGCATTTGATTAGATTTGAGCAATGAATGCTTTGATTCCATGAATATACAGGAAAGTTTAAATAGACGCGTTCAGGTCAAGATGTACGTTCAGCTTTTGTAAATAAGATGCAAATGAGGGGTTCGCCTCCCTGTCAAATAGTTTGTAATTGGTCGGTTGGCGTTTTCTAACAAAAAACTCCGCAGCAAAGGCCTTCTTCCTTTCACTAGTACTAGCTGCTGCTGTCTGGATATGCAATTTCTGAAGCAGTGGTTCAAAGAGCTTCAGTTGCCTATCTTTAACTGCCTTTGGTCGCTGCTATGATAATTCTCGGAGCTGACTGATTTTGATCGATATCGTAGATTTATGTTCACAAAATATAATAACGGTATTTACTCTGCATACTTCTCTGTGTGAACTTCTCAAGGTAGCGTCCTATTAAAAAACACCAAAGGTGAACAATGTAAATTAACACCCAAATCAGGTCAAAAACATGTACAGTGTAGCATCTATAAAGTGTATGCAGCGGCAGCATTCCGGAGAGGCGCTCAGTATTCTCACAATGAAACCGAATTTTCGAAAGCTATGACATCCCCGATGGATTAAAGTAATCGGGCAGTTGAGTTCGGAATATCAGTCCAAACTTTTGAGCCCCATTTAGGCATCCCTGGGTCTCAGTGACGCATGGGAACTATTCTATTGGACTTTTCCGCCAGAGGTAGGATTGCTTTAGTGGACACTGAAATTTTGTGGGCTGGAAAATATGAATGTAGATTAGGATGTTTTTTTGGTTTCAGCACGTACGCAACAAAATACAACACTTTGGCGCAAGTTTTTTCCGCTTGTAAAGGTTTCGCACCTAAGAGTATTGTGCGGCTAATGGACCCCCTCCGGAGATTCTGACGCCTTCTGGGTCCCATATTGGCATCCGAGATTTGGCAGATACTGTGTCAGGATTGGCTGATTGTTTCAGACTTTAGACCAATCAGATCTCGGCTTGACGCTGGTTTGGCGAGGGGCCCGATCTTTTGGCCAATCGTGTGGGGGCGTGCTTTTGGTCGCAGGAACGCCTGTTTGCGGGCGGTTACTCGACGCCCGTGCGGAATTCCTCATAACAATAAGGATGCTAACTCCATTCCTATTTAGATTTGTGATGGGCGAGATAATGAAGCGTACTCTGAAAGGTCTTCAAAGCCCCGTCGTTCAATTAGCTGCTGCTGAAATAGCTGCTGACAACAGCTTGGTATATCCACAATGTGCAGATGACAGGGTTTTTGTCTTCGAAGAGGAGGTGTTACGTGTTTGTGAATGGACTGAACAAAGTCATTCTGTTCTTTGGCATGCACTTTCCCCTCACAAGGTGTAAGGTCATACTCGTGACATGCAGTCAAAGAACACGCTACTTACAGTTCAGGTTGAGGTACCTGAAGTTGTGGTGCGCTTTACTTATCCTGGAAGCCGTATCAGTTCCGATTTTAGTGTGACAGATGAGGTCAATGTACGAATATTCAAGCATCGAGTCGCATTTGCTAATTCAGGACATCTATGGCATCGGTGCTGTAAGTCGGAAAAGACGAATGCCAAAAAATTATTTTGGTCGATCTGTCCGACTGGCCCTTACAGACCATGTGTGACGGAACCTATCAAGGGTAAAACTTACGTGACCCTTTTGCTAAAGAGTAATGCCGCACCCGCCCGGTTGGGCACTTCGAACAACAGTTACTATGGCCAACTGCTGCCACTTAGTCAAATAGGCGAACTGCACTGGTACCCTGAATGGTGAGCCGGGAACCCCGTACAGCCTCGTAGGTTTGATTGCATATCTACTCTGAAGCTCCACCAGGCTGTAGGTCGGGATGAATTTGCGGCCACATTATTCCAGTATTGGATTAGAATCTTCAGTCAGCGAGTGTCTGGTCCACTGGCTTCCGTTTGGGAAAAAGAAGCTGTCCGACAACTACAAAGAATCGTTAATAGTGCCAGAAATACCAGGTGGATCAGCTCGAGTTCAGCTGAAACAAAACTATTAGTGTCATGGAGGTCAGTGAAGCACTGACCCGAGTTTGGCCTGGTGTGTCCACATTGTCGCAATACCTCAGGTGCTGAAAAAACGCCTTAATAAAAATAGTCATTCAGATGTAATACCCTTTCGGTTCTCAGCTGCTGTCCTACCCGATGGAACCACGAGGGCTGAGATACTACAGGGCGGCTCAAGTCTAGAGAGGAGCAGCCGATGTGCAGTGGCTGGGTTCAGACCTAACAGGTTCGGAACGTACCTGTCGGTAAGTTCTCGCCCTACACACTGAACGATCTCGAGCCTAGCCTCACGTGACCTACCATTCTTCAGGACGCACACGACTCAGCTGACCGGCATGCTCTTAGCACGAATGCTCAACAAGGAATGCCCCAGAAGTTTTTGACCACAATAGTTTCTCTGTATTGTCAGATAGTGGCGTGTGAGAAAATACTGAAATCTCTCCAAAAGACACAAAATGGTATCCGACAAGGATGCCCGCTCTTTTCGTTACCGTCTAATTGCCTGATTGACGAGATAACGAAACGAGTGCCAGTTCCTCAACTAGTTGTTGACGAAAAACTTGTCAGTTTCGAATACGCAGACGAAGTTCTCATCTCCGAAGAGGAGGCACAAGTGTTTTTGGATGAGCGAACCAATGTCATCCCATCCTTCGGCATGTGTGTTGCATCCGCAGAATGTAAGATCGTCGTCCTTGAGATGCAGTCACTGAACGCGGCACTTACAATCCAAGGAGGTAATCGAGGTTGTGGAGCGTTTTATGTATCTTGGAAGGTGTATAGTTTGGTCGATGAATTTAGTGCATTAAAACTGCGAGGTTCGAATCGCATTTTCTAATTTAGAACAACTATGGGGCTGCAAGCCGACATATCCTTAAATCAGGCTACAGTACGGGCATGACTGAGATATGGTCTCTGCGGGCAGCTTAACTGAGACGTCTACAGGTGTTCGACAACTGTTATCTCACAGCCATAGGTTATATGAGCTGGTATCCGCGAGTCCGCAACCATACAGTGAGAAAACCAGTGTTTGGTTTTGCGACGGGGGCCTCAATTGAAGAATCTAACCAGCACAAGAAGCTGTGATCGTTCTGTCATGCACTGCGCCTTTAGAACAGCTGTTGTTAGGTGCACAATTCAAATTGGTGCAAGCAGAGAGGTGGTCAACATTTGGCCTGAAATAGATAAATGAGTGCTGTCGATGCGACTCGCCTTCTGAGATGGGGTTCGCATAGTTCAAATTGTGCTTGGTTGCAGACGCTGCAATATATGGCTGCCGATAGATGCCAATCGCGTTGTTGTTATCAGTTCCTATCCACATTGCCCGGATGATATTTAGGGGGTTTAGGCACCTCAGAATGGTTGTGGTAGGCTAGCACTAGGTCGGTTCTCCGTCCGATCTTATTGTCTTCAATATAAGGCTTTCAAACTATTTTTGGTTGTGCGGCAGCAAAGCACCAGTGTCGAGCACTGTTATGCTGCTGATCATGATGATGGTGATGGTCAGTGACCATTTGAGGGTGCACAGCTTGCGTGCTGCTGGAAAGCGCAACGAAAAGTAGTGACTAAGCCGCCTGATCCGAATCCACATAAGTGTTCCATGATGAGCGACAATCGGTAGTCATTCCGCGTCACCTGTATCTATTGGCAATATGGCCCGTTTATGTTGTAGGTTGGCTCACATACGTGAGACACCATCTAGCCACAGAAAAAGTATGTGGTAAGCATATGACTAGCATATTTTCCGGTTTTGGTACGTTTTGACCTAAGTCATTGACAACCGCCCGGTCGAGTCTCAATAGGGTTGACTACATACGTGCTTATTTGTATCACCAGAAACCACATTTTTGGCTCGCTTTTTATGCTGTAATATCAGAAGATCACTTGTTTGTTTATATCGCCCTCCTCGAATTTATCGGATGTCGCAAATGCTTGGTCCCCTCTGATTGTCCAAGAAGTATCTACGGGACCAGCATGATAAGCATGATAAAGCTTACCTTAAGATTATGCTATCTATAAGCATAGAGTTGTGCCTGTACTTTTAAGTGTATGTTTCTCTGAGAACGATGGAGCTCGAGATGACTGAGTGGTTAAAATGCGAGATGACTGAAGTGAGATGGCTCAAGTGGTTAGAGCGCGAACTTACTGACCGGAAGGTCCGTGGTTCGAACCTGACCTCTGCCTCTCGACCTCCCCTGTCTAGGTGTGGGCAGCCTGGCAGTATTCCCGCCCTTGTGCTTCCTTCGGGTGGCATGGCAGCTAGGCACCGAAAGGGTGTCTCAGTTGAACGGTTATTTAGTTAAACCACAACAGTAACTGATCTGTTAGCTCACTATAAAGCGTTCGAACCGATTGTAAAAACTGTCGTTGTGAGTATCCGAATCATTGTCTGTTGGGTTAAAAGCAGATACAATAGACACAGAGGTTATCGGCGCGTTTATGGGATTCACTGACGAATTGGCGATTATTAAAGGGTAACCATTTAAGCAGATAACCATTAGCTTGGCGGCGTAAAACAATACCAAAACCAGCAGAACCAGTGGTCACGGCTTCTGGACCACTGGAGGTGCGCAATCGGATGCTAGAAGAAACCGATGGAGAGGTCAGTTCAGTAACTGTACTTGAGTCGTGAACCTTCGCTTCAGAGGGACAGCATTTACCAATAAGATGCAAATGCAGCATACATTCAAAAGCAGTTTGTTCTCCAGGTTGTTTCAGAGCGCGGATGAACTGAGCTTTGGGCTTTGAAGGATGGTTTCGAAATCCCTGGCTGTAGTGGCCGAGTCAATCGTAGCTGTTGCAGCTGACAGAAATGGGTGGTGAAGGGATCTTCAGTCCTTACTAACGAGTCTGTGGAGGTGTTTTTGGCAACGGGGTAAGGCGGGAGAGAACGAATGTGTGAAAGAGGAAAAATCGGAATCGTCAGCGACAGCTTGTTTTCGCTCAAGGGCGAGATGGCTCAAGTGGTTAGAGCGCGAATTCACTGTCCGGAAGGTCCGTGGTTCGAACCCAACCTCTCCCACTCGACTTCCCCTGTCTAGGCTTGGGCAACCTGGCAGTATCCCAGCCCTCATGCAACTTTTGGGTGGCATGGCAGTTAGGCACCGAAAGGGTGCTACAGCTGAACGATTTTTTTCTTGTCTTCGCTGCGTGCAGTAAGACGCCTCGGCTGATGGAACCACGCGATGGCCAACGTGACAAGTTCACTTAGGTGTGGAATTCATGGTTGTACATGGAATGGGATAGTCTCGAGGTACTCAAGATTAGACAAGTGAGATTAGCGTCCCCAACAGAGCCTTTGGCTCAAAAACCTGACTAGCGGTTAGTAATGGTTGGCGAAATACCATCAGATCGGCGTAAAGAGTAAGCGGCCACACATATTACAAACCCAACCTGGAGGGCTAGGAGACTTGGGTGGTGGTCGCGGAGCTTGGTATTTGAACTGCAAACGTTTCATCACCAATTGAAGTGATATTGACAGTGTGGGTTTGAGTGAGTAAATTCTCCTCTTCTGTCTGTATTTGTGTAGTTTCCAAACATCTAGTGGTTCTAAATAGCTTGGTTAGTCCCGAAGTGGTCTTCATGTAATTTGATCGGTCACCTGGGATTCTGAGTTGCGTTGTGATCTCATCCTCTTGTATCTGGTTGATTCACTGTGTGATTTCTGTTCGACAGTTCTGTTCCTCTGCTGTGGTTAGGCACTTCCTTCTTTGTGGTATGATTTTGTACCACTTCATTGGTTGATTCAATGGCCTATTTTGGTGGCTTTCTTTTAGTCCGTTGGTTTTTGCCCGGTTGTTTGATTATAAATGTAGTGCAGAATCCCGTGACTGTTCGTGGCGGCTGATAGACTGGGTTGATGTTGACGTGTTTATTGATAGATTTTTATGTGGAGTACCACGTCTCGGCAAACTCTAGCTCTCGTTTTGTTCTTGCGTGAACATTGCTCCAACTGAACTGATATCCTTCTCTGTCTTCATGGGCCATGTCTTCTGCTGGCAAACTTGTGTTCGTGTATTCTTGTGGCAAGTTTTTTTTCAGTCGGATCAAGAGTGTTTGTCACAGCCGTTACACTGAAGTTTATAGATCACGTTCGCCTTCTTCATTGCATAAAACCCTCTCACTGGTTCAGAGAGTGTTCTTCTCAACGTCTTTGCAGGCCTGAAGGCGACTTTTCCCATGTTTCCCCACGTCTTGCATCCATTTCGGCGACATTTTTATGTACAGAAGTGTAATCCTCCTCTGTTCTGGTTGTATTCATAAAGCAGCTTGGCGTTGATTTTGTTTCTCCATGTGAGGTTCCTTGGGTATCCATTATTTTGGAATGTCTGGTAAAGACTTCGTCCTTTCTCCAACTCTGTTGTGTTGCAGCGCCTCTCGATCCGCTCAAACAGGGTTCGACCCCAGTTTTGTTTGTGACAGTTCGGATGGCTGAAGTGCTTCAGAATCTGTTCTGTGTGCGTTTCTTCCATGTATGCTTCAGTTTGCAGTTAACCATGATCATTACTGTCAAAGACAGTGACATCAGTGTTGGCGCTGATGCTTCACTGCAGTCTGTTGTCCTTTTGACCAACACATCTAGGAGCGTCAATTTGTTGTTATGCTCCGTTTTCATTGAGAAGTAGGTGTCGGAAAACACCTTTTTCGCAGCTGATTCGCTCGTGACAGCTCATTTTTCTTTACAATGACAAGTGTGTCGCCCACATGTCGTACTCATATTTTCGGTTTGACGTCTGGTAGCAGTTGCTCCAGTCTCTGCATTGTGACTTCCGCGATGAACCAGAGAGTAAGATGGTGAGATGCTTCACCTGCTTCCATAATTCTCTTGAAATTTACGTGGGTGCTCCTGGTAGTGAGGCTATTGGGTGCCATGGTACTGTTTTTTTATGAGCCTTTAGAAGTCCGTAGGACCCGGCAACTTCTGAGTCGCGGGCCTTAATTCTTCTACGCTTCCTCTGTGATTTTCTTCAGGGACCTGTTTATCTTGTGCATGAGTTCCGCGGTCTTGTGGTTCTGAAGACGGCGGTGTGTGGTTTTATTACTGAGTGGAGCGTTGGCTTTGTCCGTGTATTCCGCTTTGTTCAGAATGACTGTCATTCTTTCTTTGTAAGCTGGCAAATTAACGATGGTTTCGTCTGCTTTAAGGCTGCCAAGTGCTCTTTTTTCCTCAGTAGATAAGGCCTCCTACGTTTTGTTTTGAGTGATACTGTTAAAATTGAAGACGAAATAATGGCGTCCTTCGACGTAACCTTACTGTCCACATTGGTTGATTTTGATGCGGCGAGGAATAATGGTTGTTGAACTTCTGGAAAGCTGGGGAACCAAAAATGGAAAGCTTGGGAGAGAAAAAATATGCGATCTACTGGATCCGTGTTCGGCTACCTACTTCGAGCTCTGTGGAGAATATTCTGAATAACTCAAATGAGCGCCAATGGCATCACCCACCTCTGGTTCACCGCAGAAGTTACAATGCGAAAACTGGAGCGGGCTGTGCTACTGAATATTCATTCATATTCTTGAGTTCTGATGCCCCTCCTCAGCTCAACTCCACCATGCTAGAATTAGAAAGGAGCTGCCACAGGTCAAGTTGTCTACTGGTGTTAGTCACTCGAACACGAATATGAAAAGCGATTAATATGTAGTCCGTCAGTTCCAGCTTGCGTTGACCATTTTTACATATGATGGTTATGATTGTGGTATTGTGATAGTGATATCTGAATAGTTTTTAAAAACGATACATAGTTAACCTCGTGTCAGGTTTTCATTAGTTCTGTTCCTTCAAGGTAATTGTTTATTTTTCAGCTTCCGAGGCGTGAAAACTCTGCCTGACCGGCGGCTGTTGTAGACCATTTAGTGTTTGCTATGCTCTTTTTCGAATGAGGCGTAACAATAGTGGCGATCGCTTTTGGACTTTGCCAAATGCAGCTAACCGAATGGACCAGTTAATCGGTCGGAAACATACAGCACAACTGTTATCCATAATTGGGATCGTTTGCGGAATTTTGTGTCTAATTACCGGTGTTTGCGTTATATTTACTTGGGCCTTCGTACCTGACTTCTCCCGCCTGTATCCCGTGGGTCTGTATGCCGGAGCCGTAGTTTCTGCCTTGGGTGCTTGCTTCCTCTTACTCAGCGTGGTGAGCCTATGCCTTTGGCAACGGGTATTGAAACGTACGGCTACACGTATACGCTCCTCACTGTCCATCCAAAAACAAGAGACGTCACGAAAAGTGGGCAACGTTTGTCAGGTATGGTTTTTGCGGTGACCTTGTATTGCATCATCGTCATCTTTTCTAAATTACCCAGACTGATAGTTATTTTTTCGTTACCACGTCAATACTGATCGGACCTTCATAGCCAACGGTTGTCTCCCCCCCAAAGGGACCTGCAGAAAGCAGTCTGTTGTGATATATGGACTTTCCCGAAACGAAACTAATGAGGGTCGAGTAAAAAGGCTATTGAAAAAGCCTACTTCATACGAGCGAAAGTTGATGCCTGTATGCATGATGCTGTCCGCTATTCGAATGCATTTCATTTTGTACTCCACCAGAGCTACGATAAATAAAAATTCCAAGTTATTGTTCACAAACGGTATGGGTTCGTTCAACCATTCGAACCCAGTGAGTTAAAAAGAGTGGCGATGAAAGCAGTAGGTGTAAACCAGGATGTGTTCCACCACGCTTACTACAGCGTGACTGGCAAATAAGCGCCAGTGTAGATTATCTTCATACAATATGAAGAAACTATGAACATGAAGACTCTTTTACTGACCTCGAGAAAATCAGAAACCTAGTGCAGCGGGAGGCTGAACTTGGCACTATATTTTATGCGAGCAGTTAAACTATACAGTGATTTACAGGGCCAAACAGACGCCCGCTGAACTTGTGGAAGACATGGGACGAATGCTTTATTGCGCGACACAAGCAGAACAGGCGAATTTACTAGTTCTCTCCGACCTAAACGGTGGTCTGTGGTCCGAGCTGAGAAATGGTCTCCTTAGTCTCCAAATTCGATACAGGCCAACAACATTTTATTCCAAAGGTTCGTCTCTCCAGCGGATGACAAATGTGCTCGCATACCTTAGCTACTGATTTTTCGCTAGTTGATTTGTACTCTGTTTCTCCCATAACTTAATGGGTTTTATAACGTAAGTGGTTGTTTTCTTGAGTGCAGTGAGATCGGACGTAACCATTCTAGGCGTTCTAAATTAGTTTCAGCTGCCCACATGCCATTCAATCTTCGAAGAGGATGAATGCGAACGTTTGGGCTCATTGAAGAAAGCCAGTTCAACAGCTTATATCTCCCTCGGGTCTGTGCAATCCGAAAGGCTCAAACTGGTTGGGGTCATCAAGGGTACCATTTCAACCACTGAACTGGACCGCTCAATTCGTGCTTCCACTACTCCTCGTGATCCAATATGCTCTTCTTCCGTGCCGACAAGATCCGCCACTGTGCTCTTCCATGGTGACAGTAAACCTGTGTTTACTCGATACGCCGTGAGTAGTGGCAAACAACCCATTATGCGAGATAAATGTCTTCGACGATCACTACCTCGTGTCCTTATACAAACTCCGAACGGAAAGGGTACCCAGTCTCATGACAGATCGAACTCAGAACGACTTGCCAAGGCAAGGTAGGATCGACGGGGCATTTTACATCCATTTTGACATTCATGGTCTTGATCTAAAATACCCTTCTAAGCCTTGTGCGTGCCAAATTTTTTACATAGGGCCTGATTTTGCATGTGGAGCAAACGGGCGATATAGAACGATTACTAAGACTGATGTGCACTTCCAGTCGCGGGAATACGTAATATTACCCCTCGTTGACGTGAGTAGATGGGGGTATCCACACATGGAGGTGTAGTAGATCGAACCTTCCGCGCTTTCCAGAGCTGCCTTCGGTTTCGTCCCATGATGGTGTCAGACTGGTCAAGTTGTATTCATTAACTTTATCTGACCGCGAATACTTCTTGCAGTACGCTAGTGCAGAGAATGTGCCAACATCAATAGCCCCAGAACTGGTGGCTACTCTAAAATGCAAGTGTCAGTCGAAGTGTCGAAGGTATTACGAAGCTGTCTGGAGGTACTAGCAAGTCATGTCGATTTTTTCATTTCCAAATGCTCTTACTTCAGTGTGGTTTCACCACTTGCTGACCGAAAATCATCCAACTGTATCCGTTGGGCACAGAGTTAAGACGGAAGACACGGGTGGTCGCATGATTTTATAGCGGGGTGCGTGATTACCAAGATACAGGAAAAATCATAGTAGGAGTAGTGGAAACATGGTTAAACCTACTGGTTTCCAGAAATCGGTCTATGCCTCATCGCCGCACATCAGAGCGAAACTCAATGACAGCCGACAGTAATTGTCAGAATCACGGTTGGCATCTTGACTCTAGCATTATACACTGGTATTTGTTTTACGAGGTCTGAAAAAAAACGCTACGTCTTCTAGTCACACACACATGTAGCACCTCGTATCACTTGGGATCGCTGTCATCTGTGTTGATGAATACGTTCACCGTGGATGAATAGCAGACGCCGTAACTATTAACCTGGATCCACATATTCCTGCTCGCCTTAGTCAGTTCATGTGAGGCACAAGTCCCGTTGGGAAAAGAAATTCTCTCGAAAAAAAACGCACGCACCTAAAGGCGTTAGTTAACCCCCGGAGTGGCTTTTTCGGCATATCGTGCTTGAGCTTATGGTCCATAGGAAGCGTTACCACGATCGCCTCAGAGGACGCAGAGGTGAAGCCTCTGATAGGATTACTCTGCCTAAAAGTAGCTAAATATCTGGATGTCCGAAAACACTGGAAAGTTACTCTCCTGTCATCCAGTAGGACCGCGTACTTGATACAATAGAACAAGAATGCTTTCTCCGACTAATCGTCGTCACGCGGCTATAAGTTGAAAAATATCTTCACATTTGTTCGAACGAGGCAGAAAACTAAAAGGGTCAGCATACTAGTTACTAATCAGTGAAATTCCTGGTCGAAGTAACGTTTTATCTCAATAGTCCAGTGCTTCATAACCTCCCTTATTGTCCGCCTCTCACGAATCCAGCTACCTTCGCACTCTGAACCACTGTTGTGGAAAGCTAGCAAGCATTGCCGCGAGTATCAGTAGCTCATTCATCAGTCTCATTGTTTGTTCATCCTACTCCACTTTAAATAGCGTGAAGGAAGTCTTTGCATGCGGTTCACTCCCACTGTCAACCACTACCGTGTTCATACTTTTACCTGGAGTCTCCCAACAAATTGAATTGAATCTCCACGTGAGTCGTGTGCGGTTACCTATCGTCCAATGAATGCTGCATATATGATGTTCCCGTGGAAATCACTACTCGTTGTCGGGCTTTTGCTTATCCCCGTGTTTCCGCTTGAGCTAGCCGTGAAAACGTTGCACACAGTGAAACAACCCATCCAACGATGAATTGATAATTCGATTAAGAGCCACTTACCAAGCTCAGTGAACAGATCAACGGCAACCTAAGCGGCAATTTGCGTGGTGGTTAAGAAGAGCAGTCTCCAACCGAAATGCCGAATACCTTAAGCGTTACTCGAGCATTTGTTAGCATTTATGGCCGCTTAATCGCCTTTAGCATCGCTTTGATTAGCATATTCGTGAAAATAAATATCGAGAAGAATTGGAAACCTTCGCGTGGAATAAACCCGCAGAATATTGATTATTTGACGTCCGGATGCTCAGCGGTATTTGGTAAAGACGCATTCCGCGCGTGCCTTCTCAAGCGCAAAAAGGTTTCCGATCCTTCATATTTGGATGTTAATCACTTCTCAATGACTGTCCGAAAGACGGTTGCGATCCTGTTTTTGATGTGACTTATTTTCTTTCCGCCAACAGTACAACGTTTTTTGATGGACTAGTAGGCAACCAAAAGCGTTCGCCGACTGATATAGAAAGTGCAAATATCATATGTACCCACTTGGGCATTGGAAAATGAACTGTGCGTGCGCGCAACCAGACTTATCTTCGTCATCGAAGACAGAAAAAAACAGGTTTACTTTTGAAAGCCATAAAGTGGAAAAATAAAGAGATGATAAACAGTAAGGAACCACGTGCATGTTTGCTATAATTATTCTAACGATTTTTCAGCCGTAACAGTTTCAGTGCATAGCTGCCACTCTACCCGAAGGAAGCACGTGGGCTGAGCTCCTGCAAGGCTGCCCAAGCATAGACAGGAGTAGCCGAGATACACAGGTCGGGTTCGAACCATGGGCCTTCCAATCAGTAGTTTCGCGCTTGACAAAGTACAGATGCTGAGAACAAACGGCTCTTCGGTTCTGTTACAGGGAACCAAGATAATTCTAGATAGCTTACCGCGTACCACGTTTTCAGAATCGCTCACACCCAGTCACCATATCAATTCAATTCAATTTATCAGCCGTAAACCGTGCACCATATGCACATTGGTTCCAGCTGCTACAGTTCCGATCACCGGAAAACGGAATTGTGGGACATAAAGCCCTTGGTTGGAGGCGAAGGCATGTTCAGTTTGTTCGGATATGGCATAGCTACGCATTGAAGGCGAAAGCTCCGATGCACGAGCACCACTGAAGAACTTCCACATGTGCAACTTTGTCGTCCAACTTCATCGGAAAAAGTTGACTACAGACGTCTTTTTCGGTTAAACGTGGTACCCACCATTTCATACTCCACCATCCATTTGGTAAAATGGTGTCGAGTCAGTCGCCAGCAAACCACTATTTACGATGCTAGCAAAAGCATATGGCTCTGTGTATCGTTGGAGAGGCTTATCATTCCTTTAACCTACTATCACGTTTCCCGAGTTTACGTTTTTTGAAGTCATAAAAGTGAAGGTATCGCGCTTTCTTATGCGTAACTTTCTACACTCCCACCCACCGTACCGTCATTTTCGTAGATCCGAAGGTCTCAAACTGGACTCACTCAATCAGACCAGCCCAGAAAACGACTCGGAATGTAATGGAGTGAACGTAGATGTGGATGAAGAAAGCACCTCGCCCACACCGGTCTCTAGTGCTGGCGGTCGACTGTTAACACGCGTATCAACAACTCCGCCAGTTGGACAAGCCAGCCTGTTTAACCTCAACCACAACACCACCCCAACGACATTTGGCACAAACAACACGCCGCCGACTGATGGTGTCTCGTCGCCAACCAAACTCAAACACTCCTCAAGATCCAGCCTGGATCGGTCTGGAAAGCGTTACTTACTGATGAATCAATCTGGTGACGTCATCTCGTGTACGACTTTGTTTGGTGGAGAAGAGGCGGATGATGAACCGTCAGTCGGTCCTGCTTCCACCACCAACTGCCGACGCTTACAGGCGTGTGCCGGTTGGAATTTCTTTCCGGTATTCGTGCAACAAGACCCATACGACGACTCAATTCGGAGCGATGATGACGAGAATCGAGTACGACATCGCACAACAAGCTATTCGCCTCATACGACAAGTCTTTATCCTAGTCACTTGCGCACCAGCTCAGATACTTCGGCTCCGATGGAGCAGCAGCAGCATCAACAACACTATTTCGGTTGGTTCACTCGAATTCGACGCTTTGTGCGTGAGCGGTTAAAAATAGGAAGGCGGACGACACAAGCACCTTTGCCGGATGAATTTGGATGTGAAGGGGGCCAAACTGTTTTGCTGGCTAGGTCAGCGGTAAGTGTCAGTTATCCTCTGCGGGAAAGCTAAAAGTTACGCTCTATGTTGTTTCAACGTGGTGGGGAATGGTCAGTAATGTGCCTCACAAGTCATGAATTGCACTGAATTCGGCAAACGCGGCATCGACAGTACAGTTTGCTTCCAGCTTGCTAGCTATAATCAGCGTGTCAAGATGAGTTTGTTCAAGCTACTTGAATGGTGATATTTGTCTGGTCACCGTTGTGACTGAACTTCCTTGGGGATGCTTCACGTGAATCGAGCTTGTGTAACATGCGGTCAGATCGCTAAACGAAAAGTTTGACCTACGCTTTCTAAGGAAGCTTGTCGTAAACTCACACCGGGCGAAAGCGTGCTCTGAATAGATGAGAGTATTTGGGAAAGATCGACAGTCAGGGCCATGCTATTGGCAGCCAATGGAAAATTTGCGGAAGATAGGTATCTCGGAATTTAATGGCTGTGTGACCAGCTGGTTACATGGTTGTTACTTAGTAGGAGAATGCCAGACAACTAAACAGCGTCTACACCCAACGCTACTGAGGGATAGTCAGCGCAAGGCCGCGGAAGACGATTAACGATAACATTGCGTTTCAAGCCCTAAGTGAACAGACCGCCAAGTCACATCTGACGGGTTGGAATTAGAGAGACTAGAGACTAGGATAATATATGAGCTGCTCATGCTCAACAGGAGAGTGAATAGTGTCTCGTAAACGGTACTTTTCGCCAAATTGGTGCTTCAGTCGGTTAGTGCACGTGCACAGTCTACAAATAGAGAACGGCAGGTATTTCGGCTAGTGCAGACTGCAAAATAACGGTACGGGGACTCAGTCGCTTAATGAAGCACCAGCTCCTGAAGAACATAGGTAAACGAATGCCGGTGCAATCCCATACAACAGGTATGATACCCCTAAAGTTCATAGGCGGTAGCGTCCAAAGCGGCGTTACCCTGGTTTCCGCACTTGGATAGAGTATTCGAACTGCAAAAACGCAGCGATTCTCATTGGTAGTGTTTGGAATGCGTGCTAAAACAGCTCGTCGACTAATTTGCTTAAGCGTTGCGATAAAAACAGAAGGACAAGGCTTGAGAAGCGGCGGACGTGGAAAATGGTGCGCCACCGTTCACCTTGTGTGAAAAGATACAATTTTAGCTAGCTGCAGGAAAGTGATCATTAAATTGGACTAGGAGGAAGTCAAGAGATAGTAGTGGATAGAGGCAGGTGTCAGCAGTGGTCTGTGTCTACTACCCGCCCTGCTGGTTGCAACAAGTAAGGCGACTGACCATATGACGACCGATGTGGTATGGAATTATTGAAACTTGTGGAGTTTGCGGTCGTATGCATACTAAGGTACTACCGGTGCACCTAAATCTAGACGAGAAGACCTTCAAGGCCATCAACCAAAGCGCTTGACTCAAAAGCCTTACCCCGAGGCAGCAGTGCTGACGTAAGGTCACAAAAGTAGTCCATTTTTAAAGAACCACCACACACTGAAGGACCAGTGTTAGTTTGACCTGTTAGCTGTTTCTCAACCCGGTATGAGATTCCACGAATGTTACATAGACAGCCGCCATGATCTGATCACGTAGGCACATACCTTCATTCCACGACAAATTCCAGCCTGAAGTACTGTTGATTTCAGAAGTAAATCAGGAATGACCTGTCCGGACCTTCTGCTCCCACCACTTCATCTGCACTTATGCAACTGACCTGGTGGGTGGATTTGTCTGCCACACCGATATGCTCATTTGCAAGCATGAGGTGTGTCCGCAGTCATACTTGCGGGCAGATACTACTTCGTGGATGGAATACTTTGCATTTCTGAGGGATGTTATCCACTGAGAACAATGCTGTGAACGTACGCAGTGTCTGAGCGAATTTCCCGGTGTTAAAGGGAGGTGCAGACGAAGAAACGTTAATAATGAAGTGGAAAAGGTTCGGTGATAGCTTACCTAAAGCGTCCACAGGAGATGGAGTATATAATGCTGTACTCAGAAATAGTAATTTATACGCGACAGCCCCGATTAGCAGTCAGCCTAATTATACTTGCTTGAAGGGTGAGGGCTGTTGAACGAGGCCCAAAGCGGGGTTTGTATGGAGTACATCAATTTGGGCCGCTGATTAGAGTTTGATCAACAAGGCAGTGGGAAAATGCAAGTATTGTTTCTGGAATACCGATCTCTGACTCAACAATCTGACTTACAAGGTTCTACTGTTTCCGTGAGGGATATTGTCACGAGGCAACTGATTGATTTATCAGATCTACTTGCATGCACGGGACTGTCATAAGCCGAGATCCCGATGCCATGCACGGTAAATGCGTTTTGAGCCATTGGGGGCACTTTGTAATAGTTTTTACGCCGTCGGTCACATCCAACCGTTCGGCGTGTGCGAACTGCCCCCTTCTAAACAGTCCCTTCGTGGAGGGAGGCCGCATCGCTGTTTCGACAATATGGGAAGTGCCATTCGCGCAGAAAAAACAACAACTTATTGCTTTCACTATTGCAGAGTACTTTACCTGCAGATCGCATCATAATACGATTGCTCGCCGTACTTTGTCTGGCTCTGGTCTTCCTGGTATGCTTGAACCTCAAGGAACGAAGTATCACCCACAACATCGTTGGAAGATCCAAGCGCGACCGGGTTAAGGCGGCAGCTCTTGATCATTGCAGCATCTCCGAACTAATAGTGGTCAGTCACTAGAACTTCAAAATATAATTGTTCACAGTGTTGCGCCACTCGTTCACAACAGATGCCTACCCAGAGGAGGCACTAAGTGGACGGAAAGAGCCCGTGAACTCCGTCTATCTAATTTGGCATGCTTTTCCTACTTCCTTGTCACCTAGCGGCAGGCGATAATCTCGGTACCTTCGGAAAAAAACGGCTTGGTGGCTATAATTAGTTGATAACTTCGGTAGATATTAGCCACATATAACATGCCCTGGAATAGTACGGCAAAGCTTAGAGTGGGACAGGTCATTGACGTAGCATTCCCATGAATGTGCTGGAATTTATGGAGTCGAATTGGTATAAATTGATCGCAACGCACCGACTTGCCTATCAGCTAGCTTCACTCGACTTGGTTCTTTTTTGAAGTAACTCCTTGTTGTACACCACTTAGTGTTTTCTGGGTTCTTCCGTAACGTAACTATAATTTTATTAGGTGGTCCATCTCGCGTCAGAATGACCAGTACGCTTCCGCCTAAGATTTATGCTAGCTTCTACCAGTGACAATGACTTAAATAACGCATCTTTGTTCTCATTACACAGGAAGAAATAACGGAACGGAAGCGACGAAATGTATGTCGGGCGCCGAAAACGGACGCAAAGGCAAACACAAACGAAATGGACGGTCTTCCGGTAACTGACGAATCCACTCGACAACAAGGCCTGGACGAAATGACCGGCTCCTGTAGTTTGAAGGGTCGCAAGCAAACAGTTATCAGTAATGCGTCTGTTTTCTCATTACCAGCCATTGCACCGGAGCTGTGGGCAGCCGAGCGACCCGTGTGGATTATGGGAGTACCGGTGGATGATACACACTGGGTTGCTCTGGACACATGTGATCTCATATTCATGAAAGAAGAGGACCGAGTAGGCTCAGCAGACTCAGTGAAACCCGTCACTGGATCAACGTCTTCCATATACGCCTTTCATGTGAAACCTCCGTCCCGGCTGAAACCAGCACGTCGAATTCCACGGACACGCTGTGGTCGAGCTCGTTCATTAGGTCGCATTTTACTGTCAGAGAAGCAGTCTGTGCAACCGCCTTGATGAAGTTATAGTTCCTGCGTGGGCTAGATGTGAAGTTGGAGAATGCGAGTGACCGTCATCTAGATGAGTTTGGAAACTCGAGAACATTCATTGGGTAGCCGGTGGTCACTTTCCCTCTCAGACCCCAGGGTTGGTCATAAAAATAAGCATATTTGAAGTAGAATAAAAGAGATGTACTTGAAGTAGTGAAAGTTTAAAATTACAGCTCTGTACAGACAAGAGACTAACTAGATATATTGCTTTATATACACGATTATGCATTTATCAATTCCTCCTCTTCTTCTTTGGCCAAACACCCATTGGGGTTTTCGCTGAAGAGTAAGAACCAGAGAAGAGATAAAGATAAACTAAGGCACTGATGTCGAATGAATCGAAACGAGAACAAACAAGTGGAGGATTTGAGGCTCTAATACAAGCTGCACTCGACAGGGTGCACGCATTTTAGCTGAATGAAGCTAAACCAGTGCTGGCATCGTATCACATGGAACGCCCAGCGTCCTGAGCTAACTTCACCTGATATGGACTCTTCATGGGTGTATATCGCCACGTGTTGTGTATTACTTTAGCTACAGGTTTCAACAATTTTTGAACTGTTACGAATTAGGCCTTGTGCGTTAAACAGTAATCTGATCCAAGTAGAACATAAGGTTGACGGAAATTCAGAGCATGCGCCTACCTTATAAGCCCCAAGAAGGGCGAAATTGGTCGTGGGTATCGAAGAGATTTCAGCAACCTTATGAGTAGCGTGCTATACCTAGAAAACAGTAGTCTGATCCACTTCACAGAGGCTACGCGAAAAAAGCAAGTTGATGACAAGGACGACGTACCGTTCCTCTTCCAGTTCCATTCTGAACGTATCCAAATAGTCAGCCGGAACGTCGGTAAACTGCACGCTCGGAGCGTGCACCAGCTGCTTCAGGTGATCGTGCACGGTGTTACGAAGTGCCTCCAAATACTGAAAGGAAATTTTACGTACCTGATATTGATAGCTAGCTTAGGCAAAGCGGATGAATAGGGAAAAACTGAAGCGATCGAAGGCTTTGACTTTGTACACATTGAAAACATCCAATCGTAAAACCAGTGAAGAACAGAGCCTACTAAGGAACAGTACAAGTTGGTATAACGTGTGCAAAACTAAGTTTGGGGTAGTGACGAACATAAACACACAATCCGGTAGCCAAAGCCAATGGCTTTTAGTGGCGAACCACATCAGGCCCCTGTAGGTTTGGGGGTGGAGGTGATACTTACTGGAATGACGACGAGGACTGTCTCTGCTTATGATTTAGATGGGTAGTCACTTCTAATGAACGCACAATGAAACGGTCCCGTTTGATGGGACTGGTTATATATTTACTTCAGCATCCACACGATTTAGGTTGATATTGCTCGATGTACTCCAGGAATTACCGGTAATATGGCTATGTTGGGTTTTGGAATACACGCGGTGTTACGGAGCCTGTGCGAAACAACGTGCGCTAAGAACCGTTGAATAGTACATGTCTCAAAGCACCTGAATACGGTATGAGAGTCTTCGGATAGTTGTTTCATACACAGAAAAAAAGACCCTACTGGAGTACGTCTATCCCGCGAATTCCAGTGGCGGTTTCTGTACTAGTATAAGAATGAAATCGAATGTTGTGCGCTATGGTCAAGTTAATTGCCCACTGGTTGTCCGTACAGGAAAGCTTGATTAACTTTGACCCCAAACCAAACAGTGTTAGGAACATGACCCAGTCCCGTCGGACTGGGCGGTTGAGATTACCTTTGGAATCCGACAGTACCAGAGCGCTGTTCAGCCCTGCTGCCTGCAAGGAAGGCTAGGAATTCACACCATAAAAATGTCAAGTGGCGGTGAGGGTGTTACTTGTATCTAGTGAAACACCACGTGTATCTGGCGTGTCTCTCCGCAGAATTGGAGTGACTGGTGAATATTTGATTCCCACATGAATATATGAAACTGCAAAAAACCGTTCCGATCTAGCCATAGCGGAAAATAATAGTGGTCAAATGATTTCGTTGTGCACACCCTAAGTGTGTTTTTAAGCCCAAAGTTGGCATTCGGTTGTACTTTTTTTATTATTGCTATCCACCGGCAAAGTTTCAGTGTTCTAAGACCAAGATTACGGGGGTCATGTTTGAAGGACGGAAAGGTTATCCTATTTTCTCCTGTGAAAAGTGATTCCGTGTCTTTTATTCAACCGTTTTACTCCGATAAGTGATGCTAGGCGATGAAAAGGTCCAACTAACCTGCTTTGTGTTGGCGTTATCCAGTTTGGTGGTCAGGTCTGGATGCAGTGTGTAGTCCGGGTGAAAGAATTCAATGTAGGGGGAGTAGGGGAGGTCATTCGATATATTATCTTCTTGGTCTAACAGTACAGCAGTCTCGTAGGCCCAACAGCGGGCCACGTTGCGAACAGTGTAACCACCTCCGCCCAGTACCAAAAGTGGAAGTCCAAGTGCTTTGACCATTTTCACACAACGTCTAGAAGCGAACACCCATGAAGAAAATAAAGGGAAGTATGCCAATTACTGAGTCCGCGACCAAATACCAAAAAAAACGATTCCAAATTCCAGACAATCATTTACCATAAAGCGATTTCTTATGATAAATTATGAGATCACAAGGACGAACCTTTTGGAGGATACTAGCGGAAATAGCCTAACAATACAATATGAAACGCCACTCTTCATTGGTGCACCAACCCAAGGGCGTTGTGTGATGAATTACATGTGATGGTGGCAGTGCAAACCTTCGGACTACAGCGTGAGATTTCATGTCCACTGTGAACAGCAAACCCCTTGTAAACATCTACACATATGCCCCGATCACAAGCTACCACCTCGTGATAGCCCGATCAGTGTGACGAGTTCCAGCATTACGTAGCGGCCTGGGATTATCATACGGGTGATAGAAGTGTGACAGCAATTAGGTCTTTGCTTAGGCTGTCAGCACCTCCCTGTGTACGGAAGCAGCGATTCTGCCTTCTCTCAAAGGAGAACGAGTTAGAAGATAAATTTGGATCACCAAAAGGTTGACTGTGATTGACGACATTTTCGAATATTTATAAAAACAGAAAAACCGGAACTGCCGTGCACAGCTGCGTTGGCAACTGGACAACTATGCCAAACAGGCCGGGCACTTGAGCCAAAGGATCACCCGAAGGGCGGGGCCTATTGCAGCACCGGGTGGTACGATCCAAAGTGCTTTTGGTTCTGGGGACGTCTCCTTGTCGTGGAAGCTTGCTGGCCTATCCCATTTTCATTCCTTCCTTTCACGGCAACGCTTTCGAGGTATCGATCTTGTGCTGTCGATGATGGTTCAATATCAATAGGTGCTAGATCAGTCAATATTAGAGAGGTCTGCAGACGTCTGTGTAAAGTATGACAACCGAAGGTTTGGAGTGTCGCAGACCAGAATTCGGTGCCGATGCACATCCGAGCATGTGACCTCAAACATTGACGCACAAGGCACTATAGGAATGGAGGCCTGACTCGCAAAGCACCGGATACAACCGGCGCGTTCATGGGCAACGCCAAACTCCCACTTTTTGTGTTTCTACCGTATTAGATAGTGCACTGGATGACCGGTCACGATCCACCGTAAGACGGATAGAGTTTGCTGCTTCTCAGCGTGATTTTTTTTATAAACCATCCGACCTACGAAAAGTTTCTGCAGACGTCTGTGTAAAGTATGACAACCGAAGGTTTGGAGTGTCGCAGACCAGAATTCGGTGCCGATGCACATCCGAGCATGTGACCTCAAACATTGACGCACAAGGCACTATAGGAATGGAGGCCTGACTCGCAAAGCACCGGATACAACCGGCGCGTTCATGGGCAACGCCAAACTCCCACTTTTTGTGTTTCTACCGTATTAGATAGTGCACTGGATGACCGGTCACGATCCACCGTAAGACGGATAGAGTTTGCTGCTTCTCAGCGTGATTTTTTTTATAAACCATCCGACCTGACGAAAAGTTAGCAGTGATCGGGTGCTGAGACAGCTTTTATTATTAATATGAGATGGACCATTTCGCTTCAATATGAGCAGAAACACTAGACATTCAATAATCATCCATTTGCGTGACTGATGAGCACAAATACAATATGGTGAACCTAGGTAAGGGACACCAGCCCCTGTAATCTAAGTCACTAGAAACACCACCTATTTGTCGCGAATAAGAACCATAAATAAATTGTTCGTAACCAGGATTTACCCTTGCCTATCAGCGAGAAGACGGAAAACTATCGGGTTTTCGTGCGTAGCTTGTTTACTCGCAACGTGTTCCTAAGTCTGATCCCTTAGACGTATTCTGCGGTAAATCATCGGCCAAGACCCGTTCGTTTCCGCGGAGAAAATACTGCCAATGCGGCGCGGTAAAGTATCCCAACAGTATAACAGCCGTTTAACGTAACAGTCGACTGGCAAGTATGAACAAACGGCCTACCAGTGCTTTCTACATGGGAGAAACATACATGAAGCGAGGAGTTCAAATATCATTCTGGTTCTGGGAGGGACGTCGTTTCATCGAATGACGACCTGAGCTTCGTATCCTCAAACTGTATTCACGACCGGATTTTCCCTCGTGGAGAGTAGTAATGTATTTTGAAATTAACTATGGACGATCAGCAGTTGTTTGCTTCAAGAAAAGGAATTAAACGGTACCCCAGTGTTTTTCAACCTAATCCTAGCAAGACACCCTGATGGGATGCTGAAAGCCACCACAAACTGATCACGACATACATACGACTTTCGAGCTTTGCTCCGGTGGCCTGTAAAAAGACACTGAGTGCTTGGTTCTATCGAACGAAGAATATACGCAAGTCAGAAACCGTAACTGATAGAGAGGTATCTAAAAGACATCTAACTAGCTGTAACATACTTTCGGCGCATAACTGTCATACCACCGGAAGCAAGCACGAGAGTTCAGGTACTGTCACGTGACCCAGCCCTAGACAGTAGTCGAGATGCCCTAGGTTGTATTGGAACTACAATCCTTCGGTCATTAAGTTCACGCCTTGACCACTGAGCTATCGTGATTGGTTTACTCACATATAAAGTAAACAAAAGAGCTTCCTCAGGATTGGAACAATATACCCATTAGTTTCAGGCTTTTTCCAGTTGCTGGTAATGTGAGATATGGGAATTTTCAAGTGAGATATAGTTCTGTGAGTTAAACCAATTTATGCTGAAAGGAGAGTGCTGTTTTCCATTCTCAGTTCGGAGTGGCGTAAACAGAGAGGCGGCCAACACTTGACTTGGCGCTTGGGTGCTGTCGGTGCTACTCGCCTTCCAGGATGGGGACCGCGTGATCCTCACTGTGCCTGGTTGGAGACACTACAAGATATGGCTGCCAACCAATGTCAGTGGCGTTCTTGTTGTCAGTTTCTATCCAGATTGCCTAAGTGAACGCCTGGAGGTGTAGGCACCTCGGAATGATTGTGTTAAGCTAGCACTAAGTCCCTTCCCCGTCCACATTTACTCTTTTCTTTACAATAAGGCTTTCAAATAAATCATGGTTGCACGGCAGTGAACACTGATGTCATGCTCTCGATGATGATGATGGTAAAAAGCCGAGAACTATTTCATCCTTTTAGGGCATCATCACCAGTGCGCACCTCACGAAACTCCAGGGAGTTTTGAACCAATGATCTCCGGTTAGCAGTTTGAAGGTTACCGTTCAGCGGTTGATCAGCGTTGTAATTAACTTGTGGTCAGGCAGAATATAACGCTGCTCATCCTTCAGCCGCGGGGTCTACACACGTGGTCACACGTTAACTGGTTCCTCGAGTGACGACTTATCAGTTTTTACTTGCGGAATCATTCTTCCTCTGAACTACTTATAGGATGCTGGTATTGTGAATTCGCAATTGGGCTTTCTCTTTGTAAATGAAGCCGACCTAAATGACCAATACGTGGCGTACACGCACTCTCCCTGTCGCCATCAATAGAGATCTCGATCTCCCGATCATTCCGGCTAAAACCAGGCATCCACCGCCTCCATTCCAGACCGATCGGTGCGGCAGCCAGAAGCTTTGCGCAATTCGTACAAAGTTTACGGCTTCAGATAGCTCAGTTGTTGAGGCGCGAACTTCGGAAGGTCCGTGGATATAGCCCGACCAAGGCATCTCGACTGCTGTCTAGGCTGGGTGGTCTGGTAGTATATCATCCCTCTTGCTTTCCTCGGGTGGAATGGCACGTAGGCACCGAAAGGGTATTTACAACCGAATGATAGCTGCTGTTTGTGATCCGCGTAAGTCAAGGGAAGCTATATGTTGAGATATTCATGAAAGAGGAATCTTACCCATGTCCCCGTATGGATAAATTGAAGACACCGAGCCGGTCGCAACCGAGAGAGTCCGCACCGCATTGGAGAACCACGGCAGTCGGTCGATAATAGGTAACCACGTCGTTGACAACACACCGGAAAATGTTGAAATACACTGAAGTGGAGAGAGGAAGAGAGCACATGGTCAAGAACACTAGGTTCCTGAAGATGAACTCATAACACCAAATAAACAAGGAAGTGAACTGAATTCCTTTGCATCCACCGGCACTGTGCGAGCCTAAACTACCTCACTAGGCACACAAGCAGCCAACTGCAGACAATTGGTTGGTGACGGTCCGAAATTTAGGCGTACCTCATAGCAGTCAACAAAATACAAGCCAGATCTAAGGACAAATGACCTCGGCAGAGGTTCCATAAAATTTTCTGCTGGGTTCAATCCAATTTTGAATTGAACTGGGTCATTTACTAGTATGTCTGTTGGGTTTTTGAGCGGCATGCAACACAGATGAGAAGGACGAATGGACTTCCGAACGGATTCTGAACTCGATACTCTCGGCGAGGGATTCTCATACTAGAGTTATAAGCAAAACATGACGATGTGGTGATCAGGATACTCGATACCAAATGCAACAGGATTTCTCACAAAGCGCCATGAAACCCAGATTTCCAAAACGCCTGCCCAAACATCCAAAGACGGCGCCGACCCATGATGCAGGAATTCGCTTGGCGGTGCCAAATGCGGATGGTTGTGCGGAAAACTGACACTGACTGGGTTTGTTATCACGTGCATTCCGCTGCCAACGGTTTGCATTGGACCCTAAGTCCACTGGCTGATTTGGCTGAGCTGCGACTGAACAGCTGGGGTCAGAGTCTGTTGATCATAGTTGTTCCATAGTCTCTTAAGGCTTGGGACCCCGGGGAGGTCGCCTCTTCATTCAGACACCAAACTACTTGCTGAGGTACATTTCACACAGAGTATCTTTGAAGGTTAGTCCGCTTTTTTGTTTAATGTGGAACTAGCGCGAGGTTAGCAGGTTCAGCGGACTTTTCCTGGATACCATAAACGAAACGTTTGTTTTTTAGGATTGTACAAATTTGTTTGTCCACATTCACTGCACGTGAGATAAAACAGCAAAAAAACTCACCCATCGAGTGTTTTGGCATGAGAGTCTGTTGATCATAGTTGTTCCATAGTCTCTTAAGGCTTGGGACCCCGGGGAGGTCGCCTCTTCATTCAGACACCAAACTACTTGCTGAGGTACATTTCACACAGAGTATCTTTGAAGGTTAGTCCGCTTTTTTGTTTAATGTGGAACTAGCGCGAGGTTAGCAGGTTCAGCGGACTTTTCCTGGATACCATAAACGAAACGTTTGTTTTTTAGGATTGTACAAATTTGTTTGTCCACATTCACCGCACGTGAGATAAAACAGCAAAAAACTCACCCATCGAGTGTTTTTGGCATGATAATTTCTGACCTAAAGGAAACACCATGTAGGAAACAAGTGATTCCTGAGGGACCCCCCTGGGTCAGGAGGAAACTAAATCTGGGACCCTGAATGAAAAATTTCCCTTCTCAGCGGAGACCTCAATCCAGAATGTTTTGTTGACCAAGACTTCAAACAGTTTGTCACAAGAACTCACGACATACTTGCCCACCATATTACTGAACTCTGTGACGGTACTTAACTTGGTATGGCCGATAAACATCTGCTGGGACAGTTCACAGTTTGAATGTATCCCAAGGGTATGGCTGACCAGTACACAATAGTTCAGCATTTCTCAAGCTTCCCATAGCCATGCTTGGTGTGGCTGCTGCATGAATATGCTTTTCTGGTAACGTAGCTTTGTTGCTGGTCCATACTGAAGCTCAGCTGAATGAATAGACGACCAGAGTTTAAGACGTAGGTGACGGGTAACAGTAAGTTTTCACTGTGAAGGAAGCACGCGATACGGATATTAATGGTCATCTCCTAAAAGGGAAACGTTTCGAGAAGGAGACAGCACTACATCATATTCCTTTCAACGTGACCCTGATCGGGAAGCAAATGATTCCTTGACGCTTTGTGTAAAAGGTGTTCTGCCAAACCATACGTCCTTCGACCTTTTACTACCGTGCTATGGTTACTGTGAATGGCTATCCTGGTTTTCACCTGGTAAAGTTAAGTGCAGTACTCGGTTGCCGTCGGATCAACTGGGCACACGAATCACAGCCGTCTACATTCAAGGACAACTTGAACCTGTCAATCTTATAGGATATAAATCACAAGATACCTGAAGAGAGACATGTAACACACTCAACTCCATAAAATAGGAATTTTACAGTTTTTGTATCGGGTTTCTATTGGCTCCATCTTACGACAGACAAGCTCACAGTTATTCGGTCCTTTCAGATGGTCTCCAGAAAGGAACCCGATGAGCTCGGGTCCAAGGGAGGCAGTTGGCGTAGCCACATACTCAGATACTACTTGACCAGAGAAGGACAGAGTCAAGTACTTTTCTTTCGGATGTAGGATAATCAGATACATAAACATCGCCTAGCACTTCGGACCTAGTTGCGTCAGCTGATTGCGTTAGCATGCAGATGCCGAACCGATCAGTATTACGCCATAGGCTTAGGGATTTCTGCTGGTGTTCCATAAGAAGTACCTGAATTATTGGCAGACTGAATGACGAGTAAACACACAGGCGGCTGGTCATACGAAGTGAACGCATCTGCTTAGTATGAATAAGTAGTGTAGGTCATGTGTTCAAATGATTCTAATAGTGGCTGGGTTTATAGAACACCGCCCCACTAGTCTGAATCAGTAAATTTAAGTGCGTCGCATGGTTCTGGTTAACACTAGCTTATCAATTTCACCCACAGCGTCTCATTTTAAACTCCCTGGTTACTGAAACCGCTGATGCTAACCAAGTGGTGACCCTGGCTCCCTGATCTGATCCACGAGCCATTCCTTTGAATTCCCAATCACAGTATACCTGACCCATGCAAAGTGAATGTGCATTGTGTCCAGGTTGACCAATTATGTTCATCTTGAGCGAGCGCATGCCCTGTGTGACTTCTCGTTATGCACGATTGATTGTACGCTGACGCACGAATGATCTGCGCGAAGGATGAAAGCGATACACGTTTGTCTGCTCATACGTCTGTCGCGTTTTCTCCCAACTTTCCTTTCATTAGAGTGACGGAGATGTACTCGGAAAGACGGTGACATCAGAGAGAAAACAGCTCAACCAGGCAATTGCGCAGCCACAGGAGAAAGGACCCCTTCTCGACACTTTAGTACGTGCATCTGATGCGCAAACAATTGTGTTTAAGAAACCAGGCTGTCATCCCCTTTCTGACATTAATGGCCGTAAGTGTATTTCAACCCATCTAGGCACAAAAAACAAGGGATCGAAAACAAAACGTACTATCATCGTCGATGCCTTCTTTCAAAGGGACATTGATCGAATAATATTTGCCAGCTTTGGCGCCAACTTCGTACATGTCGCCTGCAATGGAAAAGGAACAACAGAAGATCAAACTCACGAAAAAACAAGGTCAATTTGTGTGAACAAATCGAGTGCATCTGTCACACTGCATCTAACAAGTGTATTCGAGTTGAACACTTTTGTACGACCACTTAAAGTGACCCCAGAAGTACCCTATTTTCTACAGTTGAGTTAGAGACAGTAGTTAGTATGCCTCAATTCATATCAATACTAGGTAAGGGAATTTTTTTTAAAGAAACCTACTTCTAGTTCAGCTGTAGAACCCTTCTGGTGCCTGACTGCCATGCCATCAGGGGGGAGCACGAGGGCTGGGATACTGTCAGGTTGCCCAAGCCTAGACAGGGGAAGTTGGGAGGTAGGGGGTCGAACCACGGACCTTGCGGTCAGTAAATTCGCACTCCAACGACTGAGTCATCTCGACCCTGAAAGAAACCTAACAGTTATTATATCTAGCACTTCAACTCAATCATTCGTATCACCAGGGTTAAAATCCAAACTAACAGTTCCTCCTTTCCGAATTGGAGGCTTAGTTCCAATGAGAGTTTCGCATCTTGCATTATACCGATTTTAAAAAGGGGCGTAAAATTCGCACAACGAACCAACAACAATGGAATGCCTCAACAACGTCCATACATTATTCAAAGAGAGTAGTTTCTGGTTCAAAACATATTTTATGGGTCATCCGGATAGCAGCCGCATAGAGACCACCAGTTCAAAAATCCCTAGAGATAATCATCCGGAAGTGAATTCTTCCAACAAGGTCTACTCTGCTTACCGAGCGGGATGAGAGCGTGGTTTGCTGAGAATCGTAGTGCTTCCATGTGGATAAGATTTTTCGATCAGAATTGATCGCCCAAATTTACCGCACAGTTCGCTGAGCAGTGAGCAAAATCGATCTTGCGGTCAGTAAATTCGCGCTCCAACCACTGAGTCATCTCGACCCTGAAAGAAACCTAACAGTTATTATATCTAGCACTTCAACTCAATCATTCGTATCACCAGGGTTAAAATCCAAACTAACAGTTCCTCCTTTCCGAATTGGAGGCTTAGTTCCAATGAGAGTTTCGCATCTTGCATTATACCGATTTTAAAAAGGGGCGTAAAATTCGCACAACGAACCAACAACAATGGAATGCCTCAACAACGTCCATACATTATTCAAAGAGAGTAGTTTCTGGTTCAAAACATATTTTATGGGTCATCCGGATAGCAGCCGCATAGAGACCACCAGTTCAAAAATCCCTAGAGATAATCATCCGGAAGTGAATTCTTCCAACAAGGTCTACTCTGCTTACCGAGCGGGATGAGAGCGTGGTTTGCTGAGAATCGTAGTGCTTCCATGTGGATAAGATTTTTCGATCAGAATTGATCGCCCAAATTTACCGCACAGTTCGCTGAGCAGTGAGCAAAATCGATCATATCCAATAAATTGGATAAAGGGGGCGAGATGGCCCAGTTGGTTAGAGCGCGAATATACTGAGCGGAAGGTCTGTGGTTCGAACCCGACCTCTGCCTCTCGACGTCCCCTGTCTAGTCTTGGGCAACCCAGCAGTATTCCAGCCCTCGTGCTTCCTTCAGGTAGTATGGCAGTTAGGCACCGGGTGTTACAGCTGAACTATTGTTCCCTTCACATATGTCTTGGCATTGAAAGTGCACAAGTGGAGTCAAATGCGGCTACGTACAAGTGTCTGTTATTCGGCAAATATCAATCGACTAGTCTGTTAAGGAAACCACCGAGTTGTCAGGATAGGAATAGCAGCCAAGGGCGCGGAAATATCGTGCTCATCTTAAGTCGTTGATTTGATCTTCACCTGGTGGCAGAGTGAAACTTGTAATCCGTCAGTAGCTGATGACATTTAACCATCACTGGTTCGATCAACAGAACAAAACCAATTCAAGATGACCCAGGCCCAACACACTCCACGACAAGCCTCAAATAAAAAAAGCAGCAAAACAAGCACAGCCTACAAGGTACGAGAAATCTCATTTTACGCGCAGTACCACAGTACTTACAGAGATCGCCCTGAGAATTAGTCGCTCGGATGATCCGTCAACATCCCATGACGTAACATCAGCTGAAAGCATGCATGTACCTAAGTGCGAGTCGCATTAATGATTGGCCATCTGTAGTCGACTGAGAATTTTCAAAATCTTATCCGGGAATTCTCGGGACCTTCCTGGAGCGCTGTGACATGGAGATGCAGCTGTAGACTATTTCTCGGCCTGCAACCGAAAACTTCGAAGCCTCCAAGTTACCGATGTAAGGTAACATCAGCTGAAAGATGGCATGTACCTAAGTGCGAGTCCATCACATTAGTGATCGGCCATCCGTAGTCGACTGAGAATTTTCAAAATTTTATCCGGGAATTCTCGGGACCTTCCTGGAGCGCTGTGACATGGAGATGCAGCTGTAGACTATTTCTCGGCCTGCAACCGAAACGAAGGAAGCCTCCAAGTTACCGATGTAAGTACAGTGGTGGCTGACAAACTCATTGTATCGATCTAACAATCATTGTGGCCGTCTGGTTCATTACTTCTTTACATAAATCCAGATTACGTGCAGGAAAGATTCAGCGTCATGGGGACTAGAAATGAGGCCTTCAACCATAGCCGTGAGACGTTCAGAAGGATAGTTGCATAAAACTTCCAGCGTGGCACATCCTGAGCTGTAAATTATATGATGCGGTATTGAACGCTGCTGCGGCCAAAGAACATAACACACATGATAAAGCGAACAACGTACAGAAAACTTACCTGTCCCGGGGAAGAACATATTTCCGTAGCGGTGAAATGATACTGTCATCACACGATCAGTAAGATAGAAAGCCTCCTGCACACCGTCCCCATGATGGACATCAATGTCGATATACAAGACTCGAGGATGATACCTATGGGAGCACACATAAGAAGGATCACAATGAGTACTTGAGTAGTTCAAGAATGGCTATCACAATGTCGTTGATATAGCAGAACCCCGACGCCTGAGAATAACGAAGTTTAGTTAGATGAAAAGCGGAGCGTACCTCAAATTTCTTCGCATGATGTAAACCACCGGACCAGTTGATTGCAATGTCAGCAACCTAGGAAACAGGAAGTGAACTGGATAAACGGAGCACACTATACCTCATTATTTAAATATTTCGCCGCTTGCAATGATGCCCCGGTATAGATTGAACAAAATTGATAAATTCCATCAAAAATAGGACTATACACGGAAATGGGGCGGTCGTTATGGCCTGTGGGTGAAAGCTTACCAATCTTCGCCAATGTTATAGGTAAGGAGCTTCTCTTTGGGAAACGTGTGCATGTTGTGTGGAGTAACGTCTCGCAAGAATTCTGCATAGTCCTGCGAGTGGAACGTGATCATATCTTTCAAACTGGCCCTGTAGGGCTTGTAGACCTGGCAAGAGAAGGGTTACTTCACACAGATATGTTTACTTTCATGCTGTCTGTAAGGCCGTAGTTGACTACCAACGTGTGAGTCAATGTTAGTCGATGTGGTTTCATCGGATGATTGGGACCGTAATGAAAGTTCCCACATTCGGGATCGTAGAAATATACCACTGGTCTATCCTTCCCCATGTTTTGCTGAAGGTTTCCGAGGAGTAAGTGGCCCGAGCGGCGGCGGTAGAGATCTGAAACGAGATGGCATGCGGAAACGCATGAGTTACTCCTTTGTTACGATTGTTAGACGGTTGGTAACAGACCGAGAGCTGTCAGCTATCATAGTGTTGTGAGAGTCTCACAGGTTAAACGAATCTTCAACATTCCCAAAAAGCCAAATTAATACCCTCAGGCTACCGATAGTCTAAGTGCGAAACGGTCTAGAGAAGTACTGTCCTTCGCGACAGGCGTGTAGACAGTAACATGTTTTCCTCAATCGACCAGCATTCTAATGTTTAGAAAAACAGCGAGGCTCTTCCAACAAAAGATGATATATAAATCCCTAGAGTGAACTGAAGGGAGGGGGGGAGAGGGAGGGGACCTGGTGCTGGCCTGTGTGTAGCATTCTGAGGTGCCCACACCTCCAGCCACTCTGGATAGAAACTGACAGCGCAAACGCCACAGACATTGATTAACCGCTATTTCTAGCAATGTCTCCAGCCAAGCACGGGCGGGGTCACGGGGACCCCATCCTGGAAGGCGTACAACACCAACAACACCCAAACTCTCCGTGATCTCTTTCACGCCTTTCTGCCAAGTGATGCGCTGTCCACCTCACGGTTTGCGCCATCCTGGAGGAGGCACGGGGAACAACATTCGTCTCGGTATACAGTGTTTCAGCATGCGTAGCACATGACCGAGCCATCGTGGTCGATGATGCTGGATGTTTTCTCGGATTTATATACCTGCCACACAGCCAAATACCCATTTTCTAATCACCTCGTTACTAACACGCTGACGCCATCCAAAACCAGCCACGCTTCTGAGGCATCAGTGGTCGAAAACCTGAAAACGCCTCACATCATCTGTCCTCAGAGGCCATGTCCCGCAGCCATAAAAAACAGCCCTTACTGTAGCCTGGTACACACGACCCTTAAGATTCAGTGAGATGCCTTTTTGACGCCATAAGTGACACAAATTAGCAAACGTGGCTGGAGCTTTTGAGATCCTTGCACTGACTTCACCAGACACACTTCCGTCAGACCTAATACCAATACAACTAAGTTTACAGAGTCAGACAAGCGACTTATCAAATATGGATGACAACCGACAGTCCTATGCGGCGTCAATCACTTTTATAATGAGTGGCAGAATCAGAAGCCTAGCATCTTTACCATGGGCCAACAGCCTGCAGTGATTTTAAGGCACTGGTTAGAAAAGCTCATGTGAGACCATCAGGCGCATAGTCTAAAGGAAGACCGAAAAATGTGATAGAGAGCGAAATCGAACTAGACGTGGAAGCCTTTTTCTACTGGCGAGCCAGGAGAAGGTAACTATCAGCTGAAGTCAGTGGAGAAGATAGCTCCGTGACTAATTTGAAAAAAAAACGTCTGGAAAGATGAACCAGGTGCTCTAAAGAACATCTTGGCTGACTCTCTGCAACGCAGGCACTAATAGCAAAACAGAACGAATTGAAGGCGTGCATATAACAAGTAAAAATAAAGGGCGAAAAGATACCAACATCATTATCATCATACATAGCAAGCATCAGTGTTCAACACTGATGCTTCTCTGCCATACAACCATGACTTATTTGGAAGTCCTACGGCGAGAAAGAGAATAAAGGTGAAAAGGAAAGGGATTTGGTGCTGTCTCACTACAATCACTCCGAAGTGCGTACATCGCTGGACAATTATTCAGACAATCTGGATAGACTGATAACACGAACGCCATTGACATTGATTAGCAGCCATACCTCACGGCGTCTCCAACAAGGAATCACGCGGCACCCATCCTGGAGGGCGAACAGCATCGATAGCACCTATACTCCTCTGTCACCTATCTGCTTGTCACTTTGAATTTGGCACGGAAAACAGCACTCTTCGGCAAACGATGGTTGGGCATACGCAATAGTTTCAAAACCGAAAACTCGCCTTCTAATTGCCTGGTTACGGATTCACTGACACCAACCCACTCGAGCTATGGTCTGAGACAACGGCTGTCAAACACATGAAGACATCTCAGTTCCGCTGCTCGAACAGGCCAGGTCTCATAACAAGACAGCCCATGCTGTAGCCTGATACACATGTCCCTTGCGGATCCTGTCTGTCCAGCGTCGCGGTTGTAATCCGTGCTCAGGCTGGGCCTCTGACGGAGCAACTGATTGATTTTCCGGGATGGTGCCGAGATCAAAAGTGTCCAGAAGCATTTCTAGACTCATATCACTCGGTCCTGTGGGCAGGATCGGCGCACCTGTCGGCCGGATTTGGTTCGCGTGGCGTATCCACTTGGCTGGACCAACTTGAATCTCGTAGAGCACTTTGCCGCGCCGGCGAAGGATGAGTCCTGGGG